AGGGTGGGGAGCTCCAAAGAAAGAGAATCCCATCACCACTTGTCCTCCTAATTGGTGCTTTTAATCAATTATCCTTCCCAGAATAAATTGATGATTCCCGACTCCTTGATGGGTATTAACCTGGCCCGACCCTRCTTAGTCACACTGGTGTCCCAAGCATTGGATCAGGAGCCCCAGTGGTGACAGGAATGTCCCTGGGAAAGGGACAGCAGGGTCTGTGTGTCACAGATGGGGTGCTGGCACCGGGCTTGGGGGCTCAGACCCAGCAGCGGGAAGGCCCAACTCCCTGACCCCAGGATAGTGGGACAGTGGGACAATGGACAGTGGGACAATTGACCCTGAGACAGTGGGACAACGGAATTGTGGACAATGGGACAATGGGACAATGGCACAATGGGACAATTGACCCTGAGACAGTGGGACAACGGAACTGTGGACAATGGGACAATGGGACACTGGGACAGTGGGACAATGGGACAATGTGGCAATGGGACAATTGACTCTGAGACAGTGAGACAACAGAAAGTGGGGCAATGGGACAATGGGACAAATGACCCTGAGACAGTGGGACAATGGAACAGTGGGACGATGGGATAGCGGGACAATGGGACAATTGACCTTGGGACAATGGGACAGTGGGACAATGGGACAATAGGACAATGGGATAATTGACCCTGGGACAATGGGACAGTGGGGCAATAGGACAATGGGACAATTGACCCTGGGACAATGGGACAATGGGACAGTGGGGCAATGGGGCAATGTGACAATTTTCTGCTGTAAACTGCTCCTGATCCCATGAACTCCCAGACACTAGGATTGGGATCTGGATGTGGGGCAAGCCAGGCCCCAGCCTGGGCGAGTGCAGCTGCCTCCATGGCAATCAAGCTCCCAGCTGCAGGGCAGACACGGCACACACTTCCAAAGGGCTCCACTTTGGACAGTGGGACATTCTGCCCTCCCGCTAAATTCATCCATGGGACGGCTCATGCAAAATGCATCACGCAAACCAAACCGCTGCGTTCGGAATTGAGCTCATTCTCCTACTTCAGCATGCACAAGCACCTTGGATTGTTTTTCTTGCCTTTCCCTTTGCTTTTCTCTCTGGGTTGTTTGCCCAGCCCAATCCCCAGAGCGCCTGTGGGGGTTCTGGGGTGAGGAAGGCTGCTCTGAGCCCAAGGAGGGCTGCTCTGAGCCCAAGGATGACTGTTCTGAACCTGAGGATGACTGTTCTGAGCCTGAGGATGACTGTTCTGAGCCTGAGGATGACTGCTCTGAGCCCAAGGAGGGCTGCGGCCGCAGCTCCAGAGCACTGGGTCTCCCGAGCAGCGCTAGTGTGGAACTGATGAGTGCCTGGCTGCTTTACAGCACTGCAGGTCTGCCTGCTGCAGCCACGGCGAGGAACTCCAGAGCATGGAGAGCTGCAGGGAAACT